ATTCTTTAATTGTAGTCAAAACTTGGGTTCGTATATCTAGGCTGACATCTTGTTCTTTTCTGTAGCACCTTATTCCATCACAAGCTGAAAGAATGGTTTCATGTATTGCTTTCAACATAAAAAGAATCTCTTCCCGGTCTTCATCCATATTCCCTTAATGGTGTGTTAAATTGAGGGCTTTAAAGTCAGAGAATGAAAATAATTTTATAACGGAGTATAGAATACAGCTGAGCTTCTCACAGTTGATATTTGTCAAGACTGAAAAAGTCTTATCTGTAGTCTTGGCTTCAAGCCAAGTCTCCTTTAGACAATAACAAGTTGTTATATCAAACTTGGCCACAAGATGTCACCAATGCCATTTAAAGTTTTTCAAATCCAAAATTTTTATAATCCTTTTTCCAATTTTATTTCTTCTTTGTAAATAAAAACCAAAGTCTTCAGTAGAGATAAGAAATCTTTTGGTTCCCAAATTTTAGAAACATATAAATCCAGTTAGATTTCAGTGTTTTAACTCCCCTAGATAGTCTTGCTGCTATTCTTAGAGGGTGGGATAGAAGTTCCCTTCCCTCTCTCCTCACAGGAGGGGAAGATACTTTGGGCAGCTTTTACAGGAAAAGAAAATACTTAGGATTGAAGATAGGTTCAGATCTTACCCACTCTCATCCGCGCTGCTTTGAAAGTGCCTAGTGGTAAGTTTGACTTCGGCTATCTACAGCCTAGTGACAAGCCATATTTGTATGGCCAGTCTTTTGTCCACCGGTTTGGAGGCCTGCCCCAGATCGAGTGGAAGGGCTACCGCCCTCCCGCGATCAAGCGGGGGTCCCCTCCTTGCTTGTTGCCCCTACAGGACAACTCTCAACTCTTTCCAGGGTCCCCCAGTGGAGCGAAACCAAACTTGGAAGACAGAACTCGCCTTCCAGTGTCTGCGGCGGCCACGATGGGAAACTGGAAGTCTAGAAACATTTATCTTAAGAGCATCTCTTAATACATTGCTTCATACATTTAGAAAAGTTTTCAGAACTTTCAGCCACAAAGAAAAGGCATATACTAAAACATATTTCATAAGTGTACAAAATTCTTGTATTTAGCTTTCATCTGAACATACTTGCAATTATTCACGATACTGCTATAACTATTCCTTGTGACATAGGCCAATGATGCAGGTGGTGGAGATGGAGAGGCAGATGTTGGTGAGGTCTGTCTTTGCTTCAGAAAAGCATCTGCACTAATTGTTTGCAGAGACAACTTGTAAAGGTTGTCAGAAGCTGGAATGAGAACATAATTGTTGAAATCTGCCACATTCATTTTCCTAAAAAACATTTAGTAGTGCAGCAAACTTTTTATAGATTGGTTAGTCTTGCAGAAATGAAACCTGAAATATTTGGTTGTTCTGTACTTTGAATGAAACAAAATCCAGAGGGATTCTATAATGATTTTACAGGGGCTAAGTTTGGGGAGATATCTCCTCCTCTTCCACATGTCCTGTGTGCTGACCCAACCAATCCCTGATCTTCCCAGCACCTTCCCTCTCCTCAGCTATCACCACTGATGGTCCCCCTGCAGGATATTAAAAAAAGCCCTCAGGATTCTTTTTGGTTTAATTTTTAACCCACCCAACCCATTGAGAACAATCATATTTTCATTTATACCAGAAAGAAAACAGCCCATTTTTTAATGTAGGTCAAATCTAATGTAGCACATTTGTTTCAAATTGGACACAGGCCAATTAAAACCAGTTGTTCTGGATACAAAATGTTTGCATATCTGTGACTTGCTGATACTTACAGCTTCCTTCTTTGTGAATTGGCACTGAATCCCACTCTGGTGGTGGTGAATCTTTTTCTCCTTCTGAACTGCTGGTATTACCTAATTCTTGAGCAGAGCCACTAGAGAAAAACTTTGCTAATGATGATGGCCTGCTATCCATTATTTTCATGCTTGTACCTACAGAGAAATAAAAAAACAAGCTATAATTATAAGATAGAAACTTCTTCAGCCTCACATGTAAGGTCAATAAAGAATAAAGGAGAACTGAAGCCCATTTCAAATTAGGGAGACATATTCAGTAATATGTCTCCCTATTTTAGCAGTTAAACCATACCTTTCAATTTCTGGAAGTTTCTTGATTTGAATCCATTTGTGCATGTATGTGGAGCAGATAGCTTTGATGAAAAGTTTCTGTGCTGTTTACCTTCCAGCGAAGAACATGATGCCTCAAAAGAACTAAAACAAAATTAAAAGCACAGAAAAAAAGTCTTTGTAGCAGACTGACTGGAGAAAAAAAATCTTATATTCCTAAAATGCAAAACAGATTATCAGCTTCTCTGATCTTCATCAATATGATATTCTTAGATTTAATGATTGTAACAGCAGAAAAATGTCTGTTTACATTTTATTTGCAGAAAGACTTCTGTTAGATAAAATACTCCATTAATTATAATTCTCCTTTTCTCAGTTTGTATTTGAACCATGTTTCACATTTTCCAGAGCCTCCTTAATATAGAAGACATCACATCAATAATCACTGATACATTTTTGTAAATCAAATAACAACTGGGACCAAAGGCTACATCATTTTCCATATATTTAATAAAGAATGTAAAACTATTTGGATTATACTGTGATTGTGTGTAGTTTACCTTGACTTTAAATCTGTTGAAGCATCTTTCTTGTTCACTGATATTTTTTTGCTTTTCTGCTTTACATGTATTTCATTTTCCTGTTTCTCTGGTATTAACTGTTTTCCCTTTTGCTTTTCTGGCTCCTGAAAGTAGAAAAGGCATGACTGAAACCTTTAAATATATTAAAGGTGTGTTAAGGTTCTAGAAGCCAATATTTTCAACACGGAGCAAAAATCAAGAACATGGGGGGAGGGGCATAACCTCAGACTGATAAAAGGGAAGTTAAAAAGTAATGTTAGAACGTATTATTTCACAGAAAGAGTAGTGGAAGATTGGAACCAACTTCCACCGGAGGTAGTGAATCAATCATTAGTTTAAACATGCTTGGGATAAACACATGTCTATCATCTGACACAAATTAAAAATAAAATAAAAATTAAGAAAATATAAAAATATTTTAAAATAATAAATAAATTATAAAGGAAACAGAAAACAAACACAAAGGGCAGAGTTGATGGACCACTAGGTCTTTTTCTGCCATTAGTTTTCCTCAGCTCTATATTTCTAAATCAAAAACAAAAGAAAATTTTAATTGGATTTCATATTTTTTAAAAGAAAGAGTAATTTTATTATACATTTTTTTTCTCCAAGCTGTCTCATAAAAATGATCACATACTTATTGAACATTGTGGATTAATCTTACATGACTTTATTCTCTTCTTATCTAAGAAGTTGGATTAATATAATGCTATTTTCCAGAAATAGTCTTTTAATCATATAATATAATTTTTCATTCTAAAATTAGCATTTAGAAATATGAAACCTGCTTATATCTGATTTCGGAAGACCACTTGGACACTAAATAATCACATTTCTACAATGCTATGCCTTATAGCTATGGATGGTTTATCCACAGAACATTTTGTACCTCTCTAAAACTCTGGACACTTACAGTTGCCTGCATTGTCAATTGGCCCTAATCTCACTCTAGCAGGGGTAAATCTATTTTTCCTTCCAAATTGATGGTTTTACCTAATTGTGAATCAGGACATAGGAAAGAACTTTGCTAAAGGTTCAGCACAAGATTGCCTCATATTTTAACACTATAAAATACAGAAACAACAGATGGAAGAGGAACGCCATATTGAATAATATATCTGCTTGTTTATTCTGAAACAGATTAATATAACACTTAAAAACTGCAGTGATGTTGATAATTTTAAAACATTTTTTTACCAAGGCATTGAATAGATAAGATTCTATTTTTTAAAATGCTATCCAAGCTATTCCTATTAAAATTCTGTACCTCTTTCAGAACGGCTTCAGTATCTGGGTTTGAAGTTTCTGTTGTGGTTGAAGAACTGTCATCGTCTGCTAAAGCATCTCTTAATTCATCCTCTTGTTGCCTTCCCTTTCCCCTGTGTTCCTTTTCTTCACGCTTCTTTGGAGGCTTAGATTTTCGCTGAAATTGTTTTCCTTTCCCTGGGATGATAAGGGTAGTTACATTGTTTTAAAATTTATTAAATGTCATAAACCAACATCCTTTATAAAACGTTAAATAGATATCAAACTAAAACAGTAAAAGAGAAAATCATAGCTAGATGCCTTCTGACATGACATTCTGATGTAAACTAATTTCTGCTTTGTATTGTTCTTATAGTGGTCATGATAAAGTAATATTTTGCTATCTTTTTCTATATTTCTAAGGAATTATAATCAATAAAAAGATATTCTCGTAATTTAGTTTAGTGGTTGAAGTGATTTAAAAAAGTGATATTAATTCCGAATGCCATGCATGATACAGTAGATAAACAGTAAATATTATGCTGATTCAGTGATGCCCTCCCTGCAAGAACAGATTTGGTTCTGGAAGGGAAGGTTGTTTCCAGAACTCAAAGCATTAAACCTAGGAAAAGAACAATCTCTTTTGTGAGCGATAGAGAGAATGCTGTATAAATGTACATAAAAAAGGCCTATTCCACCAAACACACATGAGAAATTCTATTCTATTTCTTTCTTTTTTTTATTAAAAGTTTTACAAATTTAATACAATATAACCCAAACCCCTCCCACCCCTTCCCCCCTCCCCAGAGCTGATTACAGGGTAACAAATAAACAATCATGAGAAATTCTATTCTATTTCTGTATATCTTTGTTCGTCTCAATCCAGGATATATTTCTTCATATTTTGTAAGGTCCTCAGACCCTAGTATTATCAATGGAAAAAAAACCCACTGAGAATCCATAATAGGTCAAGTGTGAGGCTATAATTTTTTTTCTCCATAATGAGTCAAACCTGTTGACAAGAATTAGCTGGGATAGAGATAAATATTAGCCTGTATTTCAATCAGTAATTTCTTTTTGTGGCTCTGCTAATAGATAATCAAGCTCCAGCATCAACCCTGCATTTGAAGCATTGGTCTTAAGACACGGGTCCCCAACCCCTGGTCCATGGCTCGGTACCGGGCCACGGCATGCCAGCAACCAGGCCTCACAAGCAAGCACAGCCTCATCCGTAGGATGCAGGCAGCACACAAAACCACACCCCCTCGACTTCCGGTGGCGACTGCTGCGCCGATGAAAAGCCGCCTACTCTGGGATTGTGTGAAAGCACATGGAGATGGCGAATATCAGCTGTTCGGCGGCTTGAAACCTCTCTCCTTGGGAGAAGAGGAGGAGGAGAGTTTTCCACGGGTAGAGGTTGAGCTCCCCTGGACCTCCTTAATTATTTGGAGGTTGGAGGGTGAGAGCTCCCTCGGAGCCCGAGGTTTTTCTCCACATTCAGGACGCCTTTGTCCTGAGTTTCAGGAACAAAGCAAAACGCCGCTTCCATATCTGCATCTTAAAGAGACTTGTGAGTAAATTAAAAGCAGACGGAGCTGACCAGGAGAGATTAGAATTGTCAATGCTTGGGACTTTAACTCAGGAAAAGAGTTAAAAGAATCTTCTTCACCTTTCAATTTCACTAAAAGCAAGAGGAGAAAAATGGCGCTGGAGTGTGGTTTCTTTGATTGAAAGGACAGTGTTAAGAAAGACTTATATTCAGCAACAAAGTTTAAATATGTAACAGGTTTTGGCTATCTATTTAAAAAGCAAGAATCCTTCTTTTCTTTTCTCTTTTTTGGAATTAGCCTTCTCTTTCCCTTTTTTTTCTTTTTTCCCCTTTTTTTGTAATTGCTGATTTTATAAGAAGTGGTTTTAAATAGATAGAAAATGGCTTCAAAGCATCTCGGAATCCCTGTTGTCCCTAAAGGTTCAATTTCCTCTCTGGTAACTCAGACTGTGTTGCAAACTAAGCCTAAGTCACCCCCACCGTCTCCTCCACCACCGGCATTTACACTTAAAGATATACAAGATGCTTTGAAAAAAACAGCGCAAGAGATTAAAGAAGAGGTGGCAGAGCTTCTTGAGAATAAAAACAGGGAAATGAGGGAAGACATAGGGCTTGCATTTCAATGGCTAGCCGCCCATATTGAACGTATAGATGACAGAATGGATGAAGTTGTGGAAAATACTGCGAGACTAGAAAACAGACTTCGTAAAGTTGAAGATAAGATTGATACAACACAGGATGAAGTTACCATATCACAATATAGAGACATGGAATTTGCTTTGCGAATAAGAGGATTGAAGGAGAATCCGCGAGAGGATCTGAGAGAGGAGGTGGCAAGAGATATTGCTCCTATTTTGGGATGTGAACTTGAGGAAATATTGAGAGAGATAGACAAAATATTTAGAGTCAATTCATGGATTGCGAGGCAGAGAAATTTACCTAGAGACGTGGTAATTTATTTCTCTAGTTCACTTCGTAATGAAATTATACAGGCTTTTATAAGCAGAGATTTCAAATTGCAGCCCAAAATGTTATAATCTTAAAAGAAATACCTCCAAAAATCCTTAGAAAAAGAAAGGATTTCGCTTTTCTGGCTGAGGAGCTTAAAAATTGACAGGTTCAGTTTAGATGGGAGATACCTGTTGGAATAGTGTTGAACTATGCTGGGACACGTTATAGACTTAATACAATCTCAAAAGCAAAAGATTTTTATACTTCTGTCCTGAAAGCAGGTCCGCCACCATCTCCACGACCTAAGAGAATAGAAGAAAGGCCGGAAAAACAGCCAGCTGAAGGTGCAATGTCATTGGTTGTAAGAGATTTACAGGCTGGACCTATGGAACAGTGTTTGGAGGTAAAAGGTGATCCAAAGGAACCGAGGATGACTCATGCTGCACATAGATGTAAAGAAAAGGAACAGCAGAAGATTGATGTTGGATCCATAATACAAGGTTCGATTACAGAGCCCGTGGGAGGGACAAGACTGAAGAGATCATCAACAGCTGATCTTCAAGTAATGTTCCAGAGGCTTCAGGCCATTAAGGATGGCAAAGTTTCTGACATGGAATGTTAATGGCCTGAATTCACCACAGAAAAGAAAGTATTTCATTATTTGAGACAACATAAGAATGATGTTGTTTGCTTGCAGAAGACTCATATTGCTTTAAATGATCAAAAGTATTTGATTAATTCCTAGTTGGGATCACATTTTATAGCTTCTGCTCCGGAAAAAAAGGGAGTGTAGTTATTTATGTAAGAAAAGACTTATCAGCTAAATTAATTGATTCTGATATATAAGGAAGATATGTTATCATTGATTTAGTATTACAAGGCAAGAAATTTCTTATTATTGGACTATACGCCCCTAATCAACAACAAAAACAGTTTTATAAGTTGTTACATCAGAAACTAACTCAATTGGATTATAAATCTGATTGGAATGGTGTTTTAGATTCAAATAAGGACAAGAAGGGTTTTTTTAAATCTTCCAATCACGCTAAATTACCTAAAGCTTTTTTGGATTTGAAGGACGATTTGGAACTCAGAGACATTTGGCGAGAATGGAATATTGAGGACAGAGATTTTACTTTTTTTCGGACAGGCATCAATCGTATTCCAGAATTGATTTTTTTCTAATCACCACTGATCTTTTTTCTAGGGTCAAGAATGCCAAGATTTCCCCTAAAATATTGTCAGACCATAGTCCTGTATGGTTGGAGTTATCTGTTGAAGACGCGAATAGAAGGACTTGGAGATTGAATGAAAATTTATTTAGATATGAGGGGATCTCACAGAAATGTAGAGAATATTTGAAGGAATTTTTTCTTTTGAATATGTATAAGAGTACCTCGATGGCAATGGTTTGGGATGCTAGTAAAGCTTACATGAGAGGGGTTCTGATTCATATGAACAATGCGCATAGGCGTAAACAGATGCAAAAACGTAAAGAAGAGATTAAACTGAAAGAGAAGGCTTTTATTTTGAATCCATTGGACAATAGGTTAAAGGCTTCTATAAATATGCTTAAGGAGCAATTTAATAAGTTAAAGGCTGATCAGACTGCAATTAACTTGCATTATATGAAACATAACACATTTTGTAACGTAAATAAGCCTGGTAGGTGGTTGACTTATCAATTACGGAAGAAACAGAAGTCAAGGATTATAGAGAAAATAGATTATAAAGGTAAAGAGGTATATCAACAAAATTTGATTAAAAGGAGTTTTTTAGATTTTTACTCAAAGTTATATGCTAGTGAAAGCATACAAGCTTCAGATATAGAAAAGTATCTACAGGCAGCATATTTTCCTAGACTTTCAAATGATCAACGAAATAAGATGAATTGTTTAATTACTTCTGAGGAAATTATTTGGGCAATCAAACAGTTAAAGGTTGGTAAGGCTCCTGGTACAGATGGATTAATAGCAATCTATTATAAAATGTTATCTGAAGAAATGATAGAACCATTAAAGGAACTTTTTAACAGTATTTTGTTGGGAGTAGAGGTACCTCCATCTTGGAGAAGGGCTTTTATATCGTTGATCCCAAAGGAGGATCAAGATCTTACCCAGCCTAAGAATTATAGACCTATATCTCTTTTGAATACAGATTACAAGATTATAGTTGGGTAATGTTTTTTTTTAGAGTTTGATTGTTTATTTGTAATCCTGTATTCAGCTCTGGGAAGTGGGGAAGGGGTGGGTGGGTCTTGGGATGTATATTGTATAAAACTTTTCAATAATAAAAAAAAACACCCCTTCCAGTCCGTGGAAAAATCTCTCTCCATGTAACCAGTCCCTGGTGCCCAAAATGTTAGGGACCTCTGTCTTAAGAGATTGGGTTGAATTGCCCTCATTTGTTTTTACATCTTTATAGTTACACATATGCATATGATAAAGTATGAGGCTCAACACTTTGCTGCAAAAAGAATGACTGCAACGGGAACATAATTATTTCCAATATGTTTGGCAATTAAATTGTTGCAGTGGGTTCTGGGTTAGACGTCATGGCATGACGGGCGCAGGGAAACGGGGCTCCTTTTTCCACGTCTGATTTTGCTCTGCTAGGGACCCTAAAAAGGTTAGTCTCCTGGAGAGGCGATGAAGAAGAACAGGACCCTCGTAGATTGCGGAAGGGCGGCAGCCCATCCATTTGATCCGAGGAAGCCCTTCAAACCAGCGGAAGAAAGACTGGCCGCATTTATGTGGCCAGCCAGAAGCCACCGACAACCCAAGATAAGCAATAACTAGCAACTTCTGAACAACACAGATGGAACTGGGCAAGAACAATCCCCTCTTTATAATTCTAAAACCTATTCCTGGAAAAAAAGAACTCCTAAAGCAAAGAATCTCCCAGATGATAGAGAGAAGGGGAATTCCCACCCTGTTATCTCAGGAAAAGAGAAACAGCAAATAACTTTCTTTGGGGGGAAATTAGAGAAAACTACAAGATTAATTTGGATTTAATATGAAGACATAGCTTTGGCAAATCTGGGGATTAAAAGTATTTTCAAGACTTTATATTCGAAAAGGTATTTAGAAAATTGGTGAAATAGGTTTGGATTTAAAAACTAGAAGATAAATGTTAACGACATCTAGTGGTGAGCCTTGGGATTACAATTTATTATGCTTAAAGAAAATTTGGCATGAAGCCCAGACATAGATACGGCTCTCTGTTGTTCCTGGAAACTTTCACTTTAGCAGACTGCAGCTAGGAAAAGGGGGGGGGATCCTTGGGCTGTTTTATCTGTATGAAGGAGATAATAAACCATTCTAAATTGGCTGGCCTGGATTACAAATATTGACTGACTTTTAGTTTCAAGAATTATTAAGAAATATTAAGAAACAGTGGGAAAGTTGCTTCTGGACTATTTCTCTTTGGAAGAAACATGGATAATCAACAAGAAAATATAAATGGATTCCAGAAAGAAATTTTTTCCATGTTGAAATCAATTCAAGAAACAATTGTTTTAAATTATGAGGAGACTAAAAATAATTTAAATAACATAAATGAGCAACCCTCCAACTTAAACTGACAAGAAAAAAGTTCAGAAAATGACCATAAAGAATGAACTAGAAATTGAGAAACCAGAGGAAAAAATAGAGGAAACTGACATAAAGATAGAGGATTCAAAAGAAGAAAACAATAGACAGGTGAAGAAAAATAAAAATTTGGAAGACCCAGATATAACACCGGAAATGGGAAAGACATTTTACTTTTCAAGACTTCAAATCATATTTGAGGACAAGGAAGAAGAATTGATAGAATGGATGACAGAACTGTTAGGAAAAATGTTGAAAACTGGGGAACAAGAAACTAAAAGAGAAACTGAAGGAGAAAGAAAATGGAGGCCGTTTAATGAATATAAATGGACTAAGCGCTTTTACAAAAACACTTTAATTAAATTATCTTTTTTATTCCAAATAATATATACAGAAACAGAGGAAGAAATACTTGGTGACTTAAATGTATTGACTTGTAAAGTTATTTGGCAAAGTAAGAAAGTTAGAGCAAGACTGAAGAAAATAGAGGTCCTGACTAATTAGATAAGGTATTATACTATCTAATGGATGTTTGAATATGATCAAAAAAATAGACAATTGCTAGAAATAAAAGGACCATTATAAAATAGAAGCATGTGATTTGTAACTAGGATAACATATGTGTCTATAAGATGGGAAATATGAAAATACTAAGAGGGTCAGTATAAGAAAAGCTTTTAGTTACCCAAATGTAATTAATTATGAGAAAAATGATAATTGATAAGAGTTATTTTGAATATTGATGGGAAATTAAAATTGAAAAAAGAGAAAAAAAACAGGATTGCAAATACATTTGAGATAAGTTTTGGCTAGAGAAGATATAAACTGATACTGATATTATTGGCACTATGTATAACATCAGAAACATGATGAAGATGTTTATAATTAATTGTATAGATATTAATAGCAGTAAGAATTATACTTGAATAGTGGGGAAAATGATTATTATTGGAAGAAGAGAGGATCAGAGAAATACTGGATGGTGTAGTATTGGATATTTTGAGTGAAAGTTAATATATACCACTGAATGATAAAGGAACCCAGACATAGAGTTGTTTATTAAGTACTTACGATTGTAAAACTTGAAATTAATAAAATATGTACAATAAATAAATAAATAATTGCAGTGGAAGTTTTTATGCAGAAGATGAAATAGTTTTATCTTTCCCTTTTATAGATTTGCTGTTTATAGTGGCCGAAATTTGCTCAAATCCAATTGCTGTTGATTTTCTATTTATGAAGGACTTTATCACATTGTTTTCTGAAAAAGACAGCTGTTCTTTATTTCTATGATATTCTTTAGACAATAATTCTCTTTAAGCCAAGTCTATATAATATGTTGCCTGCTAAGCAGTTTTGTACAGTCAACTGCATTAAAAAAAACCAAAAAACAATTAGCCTGCTTCTAAGTCAGGAGACAACAAGAACTGATGGAAAGTCTACCAAAATATGGGAAGCAACCATGGAAGAATCAGTAGAGTCTAACCAAACTATTTCAGCAAGCCTGGA